CTGCGTGCATGTATTTGGTTATGTACGTGTCCTGTTAGGCTCTGGTTTAGGTGGAGGCAACCGTTCCCCTGTCGGCTACATGTGCTACATATTTGTAGTGTTCGTCGCGCTGTGTCTCTCAGAAAATGCAGATCCTGCATGCACGAGTGCCATCCATGGTCACAGCCAACAACCAAAACTTCACCGATCTACTCAACCGATGCTAGTCGTTGAATAGCTGCTTTTTGCGGTGATAGCTAGTGTTTCTAGGGTTTTTAGGGTCCTTGAAACCCTAAACGCCTAGAAAAGGCTACACACGGCTGACTGCAGCATTTCGTGCATTATTCGTGCATGTATTTGGTTATGTACGTGTCCTGTTAGGCTCTGGTTTAGGTGGAGGCAACCGTTCCCCTGTCGGCTACATGTGCTACATATTTGTAGTGTTCGTCGCGCTGTGTCTCTCAGAAAATGCAGATCCTGCATGCACGAGTGCCATCCATGGTCACAGCCAACAACCATAACCTCACCGATCTACTCAACCGATGCTAGTCGTTGAATAGCTGCTTTTTGCGGTGATAGCTAGTGTTTCTAGGGTTTTTAGGGTCCTTGAAACCCTAAACGCCTAGAAAAGGCTACACACGGCTGACTGCAGCATTTCGTGTATTACGAGTACGTGTCCAACGGCAGGGACCAGCAACAGGCACAAGCAAGGGATGAATAATTCCATGCTGCCGCCTTCGTGTTGCTGCTGTGCTGTCCCGGCATGCATGTTCTGGCTAGCTACGACCAAATACCCCATGTACACATGCACCAACGTGTACACGTACACACACATACATACACGCACACGTACACACCAGGATGGATCTATTATGAAAAAGCCAGAGCGGATATGTCCCGCGCAAGAGCGATGTGCTGCTCATGTCGAGTTTTGATCCCGAGACCTCCCGCTTACTAAACGGGTGCTCTTCCACTGAGCTACACGAGCGGTTGTGGGTGGAGGGTGTCGAACCCTCGACCTTAGGATAGTCCAAGTCACAGCACGATAACAGCTATGAGACCTACGCGCTAACCACTGCGCCACACCCACACAGACATGCAGCTTCGCGCGTGCCAAGAATTTGCCGTACACCGTACACCGTACACGTACAAATCGTACAGGACGTGCGTACACACGCACCCCCGACGATTGGGCCAAATACGTATACACCACATCTACAGCCAACGCATGCCCGCCTCATTAGCTCTTTATTTTTCCCGGGCATGTGGCCAGGAAGTGTATATCTGTGTGACCATACATATCTGTGTGACCATACACATCTGTGTGACCATGCATATCTGTGTGACCATACATACCTGCTTGCCGATAGCGCGACGTGACGCGCAATCTGTGGTGGTGTAAGGGGACTTCAACAAGTATGAATGTAAATGCCTGGCTGATTATAATCACTCGCCTGGCTGATTCCTTGTGGCTTGTGGCTTTTGGGTGGTGGGTGCTATCCTTACGCAGCCTTGGCTTGAACGAAAGCACATGTACGAGAGGGATGCAGCACAATGATTCTGATGGCAACGTTTCGCTGGCTGCTGGTGCAGCAGCCGCTAGCATGGCCACGACAACAATGAACTGGGGGCTGGTCCAGGCATGTGCAGCGGCGGCAGCACTGGTGGCAATAAAATTCACCCCTGTTAGGCCCGGATGTCGGCACCCACTTGCATCTCACTGGCCACTAGTCGGTCGCTTCACGTTGCACCTGGCAGCAGTCTTGGATATTGGCACGTCAATGCGGTTGTGATTGGCTGCTTGCTGCGTGCATGTATTTGGTTATGTACGTGTCCTGTTAGGCTCTGGTTTAGGTGGAGGCAACCGTTCCCCTGTCGGCTACATGTGCTACATATTTGTAGTGTTCGTCGCGCTGTGTCTCTCAGAAAATGCAGATCCTGCATGCACGAGTGCCATCCATGGTCACAGCCAACAACCAAAACCTCACCGATCTACTCAACCGATGCTAGTCGTTGAATAGCTGCTTTTTGCGGTGATAGCTAGTGTTTCTAGGGTTTTTAGGGTCCTTGAAACCCTAAACGCCTAGAAAAGGCTACACACGGCTGACTGCAGCATTTCGTGCATTATTCGTGCATGTATTTGGTTATGTACGTGTCCTGTTAGGCTCTGGTTTAGGTGGAATCAACCGTTCCCCTGTCGGCTACATGTGCTACATATTTGTAGTGTTCGTCGCGCTGTGTCTCTCAGAAAATGCAGATCCTGCATGCACGAGTGCCATCCATGGTCACAGCCAACAACCAAAACCTCACCGATCTACTCAACCGATGCTAGTCGTTGAATAGCTGCTTTTTGCGGTGATAGCTAGTGTTTCTAGGGTTTTTAGGGTCCTTGAAACCCTAAACGCCTAGAAAAGGCTACACACGGCTGACTGCAGCATTTCGTGTATTATTAGTGCATGTCCAACGGTCATGGACCAGCAACAGGCACAAGCAAGGGATGAATCAATTCCATGCTGCCGCCTACGTGTGCTGCTGTGCTGTCCCGGCATGCTGTTCTGGCTAGCTACGACCAAATACCCCATGTACACATGCACCAACGTGTACACGTACACACACATACATACTTATATAGCAGGCGGCTGGCAGAAGTTAAGGCCTGACTTCTGCTCCCAGTCGATCCAGTCGACCCGGGTTCAAATCCGCCTGCCAGCTCCTCGGGTGTTTGAGGAGTGATGAAATGGGAGGTGGCCCCCCATCATATGGACGGTGTAGGACGTGATAATATCAACTTGCGAGCTGACCAGGAACTAAGTTGATGCGCCGTTGATCCGCTAGATTTGGTTGGATGCTGGTGGTGAGTTGCCGAACCCAACGAATACATTCTGAAGTCGGATGGGGTGACGGATTAGGGTGCCCCTCAAGCAGGGGAGAGCAGGGACTGCCCCGGGAAAGGGGGCCGCTGGCGAAGTTAACCACCCTGTAACAACATACATACACGCACACGTACACACCAGGATGGATCATGTTATGAAAAAGCCAGAGCGGATATGTCCCGCGCAAGAGCGATGTGCTGCTCATGTCGAGTTTTGATCTCGAGACCTCCCGCTTACTAAACGGGTGCTCTTCCACTGAGCTACACGAGCGGTTGTGGGTGGAGGGTGTCGAACCCTCAACCTTAGGATATTCCAAGTCACAGCACGATAACAGCTATGAGACCTACGCGCTAACCACTGCGCCACACCCACACAGACATGCAGCTTCGCGCGTGGCAAGAATTTTGCCGTACACCGTACACCGTACACGTACAAATCGTACAGGACGTGCGTACACACGCACCCCCGACGATTGGGCCAAATACGTATACACCACATCTACAGCCAACGCATGCCCGCCTCATTAGCTCTTTATTTTTCCCGGGCATGTGGCCAGGAAGTGTATATCTGTGTGACCATACATATCTGTGTGACCATACACATCTGTGTGACCATGCATATCTGTGTGACCATACATACCTGCTTGCCGATAGCGCGACGTGACGCGCAATCTGTGGTGGTGTAAGGGGACTTCAACAAGTATGAATGTAAATGCCTGGCTGATTATAATCACTCGCCTGGCTGATTCCTTGTGGCTTGTGGCTTTTGGGTGGTGGGTGCTATCCTTACGCAGCCTTGGCTTGAACGAAAGCACATGTACGAGAGGGATGCAGCACAATGATTCTGATGGCAACGTTTCGCTGGCTGCTGATGCAGCAGCCGCTAGCATGGCCACGACAACAATGAACTGGGGGCTGGTCCAGGCATGTGCAGCGGCGGCAGCACTGGTGGCAATAAAATTCACCCCTGTTAGGCCCGGATGTCGGCACCCACTTGCATCTCACTGGCCACTAGTCGGTCGCTTCACGTTGCACCTGGCAGCAGTCTTGGATATTGGCACGTCAATGCGGTTGTGATTGGCTGCTTGCTGCGTGCATGTATTTGGTTATGTACGTGTCCTGTTAGGCTCTGGTTTAGGTGGAGGCAACCGTTCCCCTGTCGGCTACATGTGCTACATATTTGTAGTGTTCGTCGCGCTGTGTCTCTCAGAAAATGCAGATCCTGCATGCACGAGTGCCATCCATGGTCACAGCCAACAACCAAAACTTCACCGATCTACTCAACCGATGCTAGTCGTTGAATAGCTGCTTTTTGCGGTGATAGCTAGTGTTTCTAGGGTTTTTAGGGTCCTTGAAACCCTAAACGCCTAGAAAAGGCTACACACGGCTGACTGCAGCATTTCGTGCATTATTCGTGCATGTATTTGGTTATGTACGTGTCCTGTTAGGCTCTGGTTTAGGTGGAGGCAACCGTTCCCCTGTCGGCTACATGTGCTACATATTTGTAGTGTTCGTCGCGCTGTGTCTCTCAGAAAATGCAGATCCTGCATGCACGAGTGCCATCCATGGTCACAGCCAACAACCATAACCTCACCGATCTACTCAACCGATGCTAGTCGTTGAATAGCTGCTTTTTGCGGTGATAGCTAGTGTTTCTAGGGTTTTTAGGGTCCTTGAAACCCTAAACGCCTAGAAAAGGCTACACACGGCTGACTGCAGCATTTCGTGTATTACGAGTACGTGTCCAACGGCAGGGACCAGCAACAGGCACAAGCAAGGGATGAATAATTCCATGCTGCCGCCTTCGTGTTGCTGCTGTGCTGTCCCGGCATGCATGTTCTGGCTAGCTACGACCAAATACCCCATGTACACATGCACCAACGTGTACACGTACACACACATACATACACGCACACGTACACACCAGGATGGATCATATTATGAAAAAGCCAGAGCGGATATGTCCCGCGCAAGAGCGATGTGCTGCTCATGTCGAGTTTTGATCTCGAGACCTCCCGCTTACTAAACGGGTGCTCTTCCACTGAGCTACACGAGCGGTT